TGCCACTTCCTTACAGAGCCCCTCCTCCAACACACACGAACGCGCACATGACCAATGAGGGCACGAGATACGTTTGTGCCCCGATGGGAGGCTGACAGGCAGGTAGGCCATCCAGTTATTTTAACCGGGCCGGCTATCGGGATGTTAAGAGCATTCCATGGAATATAACAAAAAGTGTATCTCGAGCCGGTTTCTCAAACTTACCTACCCCACCTTTAACATTAACATTAACATCATGGTAACACCATGGCGACCGGCGGCACACCTGCAGCTGTACCGCTTGTAATTAGGTTCAACTATAAAAACTTCGAACAAAACGCCGGCGGCACCAACAAAAGGAGCGCACACTGCAAAGTCTGCAATATTAAAATCAAGGATGCTGGTGCAACAACGTCAAATTTCATCAGGCACTTGAAAACTCACCCGGAGAGGTCAGACACATTAACGCATATGGACGGTTAGCAAACATGTTTAGCTCAGCATCACCTATGTAATGTTAACTTAGCTTGCTACTAGCTTTGTAACTGAATATTTGAAAAGATGAGTGAATGTTTGCTTGTCACACTTGTTTGCGTTGAGTGGCGTTGACATCCAACTCTTGACATGACATAAAAAAGGTCGGTAACGTTAATCATTACGTTCCGCTGCCACCATCTACTGGCTAACGTTAAACGTAGAAAAATACATAGTTACATACATAAATACATCTGTCGGTTTATAGGCAGGTTACAGGTTTATTGTTGACCACGTAACGTTAATGTTACAGGTTTATCAGGTTACCATTACACTGGGTTTGAGTGAGAGGATAGAGGAATATGTTTATTTATAGTAGACTTAAAATATGTAATTAGAGACTGTGTAATTAAACAATACGGTTGCAGAGGTCAAATTTTAACATTTTTGTCCACTGGCCAAATGGCTAGCCTAGTGAATGTTGAAATGTTACCAGCCACTCAATAGATTGCCATTGTTATTTTTGGCTGGTGCGTGCAACATACAGTACCAGCCACTTGCATGATTTACCAGCATTTGGCTGGTAAATGGTGTTAATGATAGATATCTCTTTTGGAACAGGTCACGTTTTAATATCACCAGTTCAGTATATTTCAGATAATATTGCAGCAATAGTTTTTTAGTTGCAAATGGCACAGAACAAATGTTTACTTTGAAGTACTTTTAACACAGTTTCCCTGCGGGGGATTAATAAAGTATTTGTGATACTGATATCTGATTCTGAAGTGTTTTGCTTCTAAGTTGTTTGCATTTAGCTAAAGTGTGATGTTTTTCCTCACATTGCATTGCAATAGCCTGTTTAAAGTGATCATATAACAAACAACTAATCAGTACTGATACTGTATGCTAATAGATATAGGAGTGATAATAATACAGTCAATGCTTTGAATTTCTTAGATATAGCTGTGCAGTATTCTTAACAGACTGGATAGCAGCAGACAATAGAAGGCTTATTACAACCAGAAGAGACATGAGACTTTTATTTTTTAGAGACTTGAGACTTGACTTGGACTCGTGACCAAAGACTTGAGACTTGATCAAGTCTCACCCCACAAAGACTTGAGACTTGACTTGGACTCGTGACCAAAGACTTGAGACTTGACTTGTACTTGCAAAAAAAAGACTTTTGAACATCTCTGCGAATATCTTAAGTGCTTTGACAAAAAATCCATAACAATATTTCATCTGTGGAAGCCGTGGCGCTGTAAAAAGCACGACCAATCATCTGAGCCGGCCCGGCTAAAGTAACTGGATGGCCTACCTGCCTGTCAGCCTTCCATCTGTGCACAAACTTATCTCGTGCCCTCATTGGTCATGTGCGCGTTCGTGTGTGTTGGAGGAGGGGCTCTGTAAGGAAGTCTGAAGGAAGTGGCAGATTTCTTCCGGTTGTGTACTTTCAAATTCTAGCGCACTGGAGCTGGTTTCTCCAAAAGACCCCACCTTTAAGCAAATGTGTATTTCGGTGGTTGGTGTAAAATTGTGGAATTCTCAACAGAAGGATCTAAAGAATTGTATATGTATTTTTCAGTTGAAGAAATTGTATAAAATAAGAAAAATGGGACTATATGAAGCAGAATGTGAATAAGTTTATGTACTCTGGTCCAGCATTGCTAAATATTGTTGATGTCTTTGATGTTATTCTTTATTTGCAGGTCCCATTGTTATTATTATTATTATTATCATTATTATTATGCGCCGCTTTCCACCTTCTTCTCCAGTAGGACTCAGATGAGGGTGTTGCACTTTTCCTTTTCCTTATACATGTGATGATGTTGTTTTGTTTCTTTCCGTTGACCGTCAAGTGGGAAATAAGTATTTTGTGTTTCTCTTAGTATCCTAAGATACTGTTATGTTTGGCTGTGAAAAAAAAAGAGTATGAAGGGCAGGCCATCTATTTCTATGTATTTTGTTTTCTTTAGAAAGGGGCAGGTCATATAAGACTTGTTTCTTCTCCCTGCTCCTTTTCGCTCAATGGTGTGTTTGTAGAGACATGTTTTGTTGGCAATTATTGTACATTGGGTTTTGCGTACCAAATAAAAATGAAATGACATTTTAGGATCAAGTCATGTTTTATTTACTGCATTTACACCAAACCACAATGCTTTCTGGGTGCTTTTACAACTTGTATTATTAAGTGTCCTCTTTCTAGATATGAATGCCACACTGCTAAAGCTAACAGGAAGCGGTTAGGTTTGGTGCACTTCTAACATGAACATTGCCTTTTTGTGGGTGAACTATTTCCCTAACAACAAGGTCATGTTGTATGAAACCACAATGTGTGATGGGTGCATTTACACCTTGCATTATTAAGTGTCCTCTTTCCAGCTTATGCTACCTTTACCACAAAGCCAAAGCTAGCAGGAAGAGGTGCAGTTTAGTGACTTTAAAATGTATAATGGTCAGTTTAGGGGTGAGCTATTCCTTTAAGGGTCAAGTCATGTTGTATTTACTGCCTTTACAACAGACCACAATGCATTGTGGATGCAGCATGGCATTAGTATGTTGTCCCTTCTCCTCATAGATCACATGCTAAAGTCAGTTGTAAATGGGGTCTTATTCCTGGAGAAGTTCAGTAAAAGGTGGAGCCTACATTTCCCATAATGCAAATCCATAATGTGCATTTTGAGTATGTATTGCTGGTAAATAGTCGTTACAAATCGTACATTTGTTCATCTCTTTTCCCGGGAGGAATAATGCCCATTTTGCTAAAATGCTAGAAATCCACGTTTGATTGATTGATTGGGAAACCATTTAAGAGACAGAATAGAAGTCAGGTAAAGCTAATTAAAATGATGACATCTAATCTCTCAGACAGGACTTTCAGGTGTGCGAGGGTTTTTTGTATTTTAGATATTGATTTCCCATCACAGCACAGAGTGAATTGTCAGCGAATGCAGAGTGAACGATTCCCTTTTGTCCCTGTGTACCAACATTAGAGCCGTGACCCTTAAATTACCAGCTACACAAAACAATTTGCATACTAATTACTCGTTAAAGGCTTGTATTTTGCAGTGTAGAAGGGGGACTGTCGCCGGAGTTTAATCAAGTCTGCTCAGCTGCCACCTAAAAGAATTAAAAATAAACCGAAAAGACAAAATAAACTTTAGAGTCATATTGAAACTGACTTTTCTAAGTTAAGGGTAAAGTTCAGCTCTGACAGATTCCAATTAATCCAACACTGAAATCACTTACTCTCCACGACACAACTTTGCACCACTTTCTCTTAAGGAAAGTTGATCAAATCTTACAAAATACTGAACTTAATATCTCAATATTTTAAATGCATGGCTGTTGAGGATGTCATGCAGCACTATCATCAGGAAGTACAGGAATATTTAAGCCATGTCAAAATTGTAAAATTACACTAGAAGTCCAAAAATATATCAATATCTATATGTGAATATTCATGCTTAAATGTATGAATGTATATCTTCTAAGCTAATGAAGCAGACCAACACAGAGACATGTATAAAAGGGGATGGACTGTTGATAAGTATTTCAAAGTCGAAAAAGCTGTACTTTAAATAATTTTACCTTAATTGTGTTCATGTAGAAATATGTAAAGCCAGACTTAAAATATGATATTTTGAAGAGAATTTGCCAACAAACAAATCTGTGTCTCACTTGTTTTATTTTAATATGAATCTAAATATCTTTCTCTTCTGGAGATTAAAGAAGCTATTTCAAAATATCTACCCATTACTTTGGGAGATTAGATTTATTTTTTGTGCATTTTTTGACCATTTTCTGAAATGTCATGAACCAAACGATTAACCAATTATCTGATAAAAAATAATAGCCATTTCAGGCTCTGACTCTAGCTGATTCCCACCTCTCAGATAGTGGATTTTAATGAGAAAAGCCACATTGATGTCAGAGTGCTGCATGTCTCAGTGAGCAGCAGCCTGCTGCAGACAGACAGCTCAGATCTCCTTCCCTTTTCCTATTTTGGGAAGAGGCTCTTGTTTAAAGAGGATATCTGAGATGTGCGTAAACATGGACTCAGCAGACACACAGCTGTTGCTAATTAATCATCAGAAGGCAGTTTTAAGCTCACTATATACCGAAGTCAGTGCAACCTGACGGGGGAATCCCTGCTGGAGCACCCATAGGCCTGAAACACAACTTATAGGGTGCATACAGGCCTATAAGCACTCAGTATACTTTCTCCAGAATCTACAAATAAATACACAAGAAAAAGCCAAATATGCATATTAAAAACAGGAAATCTAGCCAATCAGAAGCGTCTCTGACAGCCGGTGTGTGATTCCTGCGTTGACACACGCCAATTATTTAATGGCACACCCATTATAGAGACGGTATCACGAATCCATTGCAGCCCGATGCAATGGATCATATCTGCACAGAGATGAGGGGCAAATTAATGCTCACAAAATGCATCTAACCTGTCACACATGAAGCCAGAAAGCCTGCCGGTGTTGCATCACAGATTATCTCACACCACTGAGCTCGCATCATGCATTTACCTGGTTTCTATTCCGGGGAGTTTATGTAGAAATAGCTCCTGAACGCCCCCTTTATTTGTATTATTTCTCCTCAGTGTGATCTCGCAGTTCGGAGCTGCTGAAGCCCCCGGTGCTCTGGAGCCGCGGTCTGGTCCTCATGCAGCGGCTGCTCCCCCCTCGGTGCTCGGATGAAAAGCGTCCAGAGGTGATGGTTCTCCTCCACAGATCCTCCACAGATCCTCCCTGTCTGACTGACCGGGTCGCAGAGCTGTCAGTGTCGGGGAGGGGGAGGATGGGTGAGTGGGAGGAGAGTGGGGGGGGGGTCGGTATTTTAAGATTAGAGATGGATCTCCAGGTCCTCTCCTTCCTCCTGCAAACCGCGAATCAGCGCTCCTCCTCCCCCTCTCTGTGTGATGTCTCTCCGGTGAAGGCACTGCCGTGAAGCTCCCGGTGTTCCCACAGAAATCCCTTCACATAAACCACCGTCAGCTGAGCGTTAAGTTTCCCCGGTGTGTCCGCGGCTCTGTGGGCACCAGCAGCAGCGCGTCTCCTCCTCCTGACGCTTTATCCACAAATCCTCCTCCTCCGATAATAATAATAATAAGAGTTATTAATAACAGGCTTGTTCTCAATGGAGGTGTGAAATGGTTGCGTCCTTCAGTCCTCCGCCCCCTATTTCTGTTTTTAAATCACACCAGACTCGGTTAGGCGCGCAACGACGTCACCATGAGCCGAAGAATGAAGCTGCAGCATTATGGGATGCAGGCAGCGTGCAGCGGCCAATAAAAGACACGTAAAAATCCGGGAAAATGCATTTTCTTGTCAGTCATTTACTACAATGTATATGCACTGCATCTATCAGCAGGCAAATACAAATCATGGGTTCACTAATTCAAATCAAAATATTTTTTTCTAAGATGTACAAATTCTGGGGGAAAGAATCGTCCTTCTGAAAAAGTCAAATTCTGAAAAAATAAATAAATCTAAAGTCTGAAGAACATTCAAAATTCTGATGAAAGTCAAACTCTGAACAAAAGTAAAAATTAAATAAAAAGTCAGAATTCAGAAAAATATTAAAATGTCAAAATTCCGGAAAAAAGGCAAAATTCTTATTTAGAATTATTGTAAAAGCTGAACAAAAGTCAAAATTCTGGAAATATACGGAAGAGGATTAAAGCCACACGTAAAATATTGTATTTTTGAGGACTCAATTTTGAGGGGAAAAAAATTCTGGAAAAAAAAGTCTAAATTCTGATTTAAAAAAATAATAATTTCAAAAAATTCCGACTAAAGTGAAAATGTTGAAAAAAGTCTAAATTCAATTTTTTTTTCCTCATAAAAGTCAAAATCATCTATTTCAAGTATTCTGAAAAAAGTGAATAAATCATGAAAAAGTGAAAATTATGAAAAAAGTGAATTGATCATTGCAGCTAATTGTTAATAAATGTTGAATTATTATTTATCCAGAAAACAACATCATGTAAGACTTGAAACAGCTACGAGGTTCTTGGCTTTTGCAAGACACACACACCATCACATGTGCACATATTTTTGCAGCATGGGCTCCATTTTTCTTTTGGGATGGAGCTTTTATGAAGATCGGGGGTAAAATAAAATCAATTGGATTTGATTTTAATTACACAGTCCGGCTCTGTGCTGCAGTCTTATTATCCTGTCCAGATTTCCACGCTTGTTAAATTCAAATTCAAAAACAATCTCCCAAATGGACATCCCATGTAATGCTGTGATTAGCATGGAGAATATCGTTGGAGGGTTTTAATGAAGTTTTCTTATCTCTGCAGGAAGGACGGGGACGGGGACGGGACGGGACGGGGACGGGGACGGGGGGGGGACGGGTGCACCTGCAGCCGGAGCGCAGAGAGGGATTGGAAATAAATGCTCTCTTCAAAGTCATGCATGTGTTCAGTGCAGATTAATGGATTCAAGTAAATACACCAAAGTGAGACAAACTGAGAGTAAAACATCCACTTCCAGTTATTGTCCTGCTTTAAAGGGGCCCTATTCTGCTCATTCACACACACACACCAAAACACACACACACACACACACACACACACACACATCCACTTCCACGTATCCTCCTGCTTTAAAGGGGCCCTATGCTGCTCATTCACACACACACACACACACCAAAACTAAAACACACACACCAAAACAAACACACACCAAAACACAAACACACACCTACACACACTCCCATAGACAGGAAGTATCCCTGCAGTCTTCAGAGTGTAAATCCTGATGTGAGGTGACTCCTCACCTTTCTCCGTTCACAGCTTCACTTTTCATTACGGAGTGTCATGAGTGGACGTCGTCGCCCAGGCGTGATGTCCGTGTTTGATCCCCCCCCCCTTTTTTCTCTCACCATCAGGGTCACAGCGTCTCCAGTTTAATCACCACTGAAGCTCTGTCAACTCCAGCTTACAGAATCATTAGCATGTGCACAGTGCAGCACGGAGAGGAATACAGATCTCAGCGCAACATCGACACTTTTCTCTGCTTCTACACGCCAGGTATTTCTACTGATCCAGAAACGGGTGTTAGTGCATGTAAATGGTCTGCAAAGGCTAACATCCGTGTGTTCCCTCCAGAGCGAGTTTGTCTCCCACACAGCTTGTGTTAACCACAGACCTTCATTCAGGCTAACAACTTCAAACATTTTTTTTTTTAAAACAACATTGACTTCAGAGCAGGCAGTGCTACAATGCTGACTCATTCCCAGGTGGACTCATTCCTGCAGCTCATGCAGATAGAAAGGATTGTGTGCTGAACTCTGTAGAAAGTGCACAGAGTGAAGCCTCTTCTGCAGCTGAGCACAGGGTCAGTGGGGCGGAAGAGATCCTGCAGTGCATGATGGGTACGAGAGGGAGACCCACACTCACTCCCTCCTGGAGAGAGACGAAGAAGAATCAGACGTGGGGGGAGGAAGATTACATATACAGGGGGGGGGGGGGTCAACTTGTACGAGGTTCTTGGCTTTTGCAGGATGCTTGCACCCCACACACACACACACACACACACACACACCATCACATGTGCCCTATAGCCACGTCTCCATGGCAACGTGTGGATGTGGTGGAAGTGACGGCGGCGGTGTGTGTTCAGTCCGGCTCATTATGAGGAATGATGTACAACAGCCCCCCCCCCCAACACACACACACACACACACACACACACACACACACACACACACACACACACACACACACACACACACACACACACACACACACACACACACACACACACACACACACACACACACACACACACACACACACACACACACACACACACACACACACACACACACACACACACACACACACTGCTGCCGAGTCTCCGTCTATTTATAGACAGGAAATAAGAGAGAGCTTCTTTCATAACGATGACATTAGAAAGCTGCAGCTTCTGTTCTTCTGCATGTTGAATCGTTGGGTGTGAGGACCGTGTGTCTGCAGGTAAACATCAGGCCACACCGAGAGTATTAGTATGGTAGTATGTATATTAAATTGGGAAGTAACTAAGTACATTTACTCAAGTTCAAGTTTGAGATACTTGTACTTTACTCGAGTATTTCCATTTTATGCTACTGTGTACTTTTCCTCCACTACATGTATTTAATCCCTTTAGTTACTTCACAGATGTGGATGAATGATGTGAAATATAATCAAGTGTTGAATCAGACTTTAGTTCCACCTGGAGTAAATCCACCAGCTACCCTGCAGTATACAAAGTCATTCAGACTAGCTGCACCTTTACCAGCTTTGAGAACACTTTCATGATCAATCATTATAAAACACATCATATATATTATTCTGAAATGGACCAATCTGCACAACGACTACTTTTACTGTCGCTACTTTCACTATATTTTGATGAGAATACTTTTCTACTTTTACTTGAGGAACATTTTGAATGCAGGACTTTTACTGTAACAGAGTATTCCTACACTCTGGTACTTCTACTTTTACTCAAGTACAAGACCTGAGTACTTCTACTTTTACTAAAGTACAAGATCTGAGTACTTCTACTTTTACTCAAGTACAAGATCTGAGTACTTCTACTTTTACTCAAGTACAATATCTCAGTACTTCTACTTTTACTAAAGTACAATATCTCAGTACTTCTTCCACCTCTGATTAAATGTTTGTAGTGGTTGCATTACTGGAATATTGTACATTTTACATCCCACATTTATTTGAACAGCTTTAGTTTAAAGATTCTCTCTCTTTTTGATCCATTTCTATAAAAACCTGTCTGAAAATGAGCTGATCAGATTTTGGCTACTTTATGATGTCATAACGATGTTTTGTCTTGTGTAACCATTAGCCAATCAGCTACCAAGGTAACCCCCCCCCCCCTTATCACCTGAATCTCCTCCTAGAGCACCATTGTGTTCTTTGTAACCAAATCTCTCTCAGAGGGGCGTGGGGAGGGGCTCCTTATTTTCATCTAAAGTAACAGACAGAGAATCAGCACTTTGGAAACAGGGCTGAAACAGAGGGGATTATGGGTAATGCTGCAATGATCTGTTTGGTGTTTCAGCCAATCAGAGACATGTTTTGTATATATCTGAGACCTGTAATATATTGATGAAAACAGAATAATACGGGAAGGATCTTCCTCTCAACTTTCCTACAGGTTACTTTTTTGGTTGTCCGTCTCTGCAGGAATACAGAAAAACCATTCGCCTGATTTTGATGAAACTTGGTGGAGGGGTGAATCTCGGGCCGAGGAAGAACTCATTACATTTTGAAGCAGATCCAAATCACGGGGAGCATTCATGCATTCATTTTAACTTTAATTAACATTGCAAGATTTAAGCATTTAGTTTCTCAGAGTCCCAGATTCCCCCCCTCTACACGCGTCGTGTTTCTAAGACCTCATCAGTTCTCCCGCTCGCAGAACAGAGTAGTAAATATTGAATTTGATTTCCACTTTTCCACTCAGCTTTGAATATTTGATGCCGTTTTCACTTACAGATAAAAAATGTAGTAGCATGTAAAGGGGGCGGGACATCCTCGAATTAGGACTCATCGCTTACGGCAGCTCGGCTTTCTGCACTGACCCATTTTGGCCCCTGATGAATACACCCGAGCTACATCTCCATACACTAACCACAGCAAGCCGACACATATCTTCTGCTTCACATGCTTCATCTCCAGCAAACACAGCGATACACACTATATGATGCGTTTTTATAGGATGAGAATAAGAACGTAAACAATGACTAAATAAGTGCAATAAATAGTCATAACAGCAGCCACATACACAGATTGTACACAACCCTCTGCAGGAGATGAAACACTGGCCTGAATCACATGGTTATTTTGAGGCGTCTTTGATAACGATGACAAATAAACATTTGAATGCTGCCATCTTCTTTTTTGTTGCATGTAAAATCATTGGGTTTTAAGGCGGCATTTGAGCACAGCTGCAGATAAAGACTAGGCTACTCTAATGTTATTAGTATTATAGTATTTAGAGGATTATATTCCTGAAGGGAAGCGTAGTATTCAGGGTTTCCTCTCAAGATAGCGGCCGTGTCTTGAGCTCCTTCTGTTTTGCTTTTTTATTTGGATATGTAGGTTTATTTATTATGTTGCATTGTTGGAGGAGTCTTTAAAGAGTCCTCTCCTGCTGATGTTCAGGTGTATATCAGTATGTAGTGTCTCTACTTTAAAGAGTCCTCTCCTGCTGATGTTCAGGTGTATATCAGTATGTAGTGTCTCTACTTTAAAGAGTCCTCTCCTGCTGATGTTCAGGTGTATATCAGTATGTAGTGTCTCAACTTTAAAGAGTCCTCTCCTGCTGATGTTCAGGTGTATATCAGTATGTAGTGTCTCTACTTTAAAGAGTCCTCCCCTGCTGATGTTCAGGTGTATATCAGTATGTGGTGTCTCTACTTTAAAGAGTCCTCTCCTGCTGATGTTAGGTGTATATCAGTATGTAGTGTCTCAACTTTAAAGAGTCCTCTCCTGCTGATGTTCAGGTGTATATCAGTATGTAGTGTCTCTACTTTAAAGAGTCCTCCCCTGCTGATGTTCAGGTGTATATCAGTATGTGGTGTCTCTACTTTAAAGAGTCCTCTCCTGCTGATGTTCAGGTGTATATCAGTATGTAGTGTCTCTACTTTAAAGAGTCCTCTCCTGCTGATGTTCAGGTGTATATCAGTATGTAGTGTCTCTACTTTAAAGAGTCCTCTCCTGCTGATGTTCAGGTGTATATCAGTATGTAGTGTCTCTACTTTAAAGAGTCCTCCCCTGCTGATGTTCAGGTGTATATCAGTATGTAGTGTCTCTACTTTAAAGAGTCCTCTTCTGCTGATGTTCAGGTGTATATCAGTATGTAGTGTCTCTACTTTAAAGAGTCCTCTCCTGCTGAGGTTCAGGTGTATATCAGTATGTAGTGTCTCAACTTTAAAGAGTCCTCTCCTGCTGATGTTCAGGTGTATATCAGTATGTAGTGTCTCTACTTTAAAGAGTCCTCTCCTGCTGATGTTCAGGTGTATATCAGTATGTAGTGTCTCAACTTTAAAGAGTCCTCTCCTGCTGATGTTCAGGTGTATATCAGTATGTGTGTCTCTACTTTAAAGAGTCCTCCCCTGCTGATGTTCAGGTGTATATCAGTATGTGGTGTCTCTACTTTAAAGAGTCCTCTCCTGCTGATGTTAGGTGTATATCAGTATGTAGTGTCTCAACTTTAAAGAGTCCTCTCCTGCTGATGTTCAGGTGTATATCAGTATGTAGTGTCTCTACTTTAAAGAGTCCTCCCCTGCTGATGTTCAGGTGTATATCAGTATGTGGTGTCTCTACTTTAAAGAGTCCTCTCCTGCTGATGTTCAGGTGTATATCAGTATGTAGTGTCTCTACTTTAAAGAGTCCTCTCCTGCTGATGTTCAGGTGTATATCAGTATGTAGTGTCTCTACTTTAAAGAGTCCTCTCCTGCTGATGTTCAGGTGTATATCAGTATGTAGTGTCTCTACTTTAAAGAGTCCTCTCCTGCTGATGTTCAGGTGTATATCAGTATGTAGTATCTCTACTTTAAAGAGTCCTCTCCTGCTGATGTTCAGGTGTATATCAGTATGTAGTGTCTCTACTTTAAAGAGTCCTCTCCTGCTGATGTTCAGGTGTATATCAGTATGTAGTGTCTCTACTTTAAAGAGTCCTCCCCTGCTGATGTTCAGGTGTATATCAGTATGTAGTGTCTCTACTTTAAAGAGTCCTCTTCTGCTGATGTTCAGGTGTATATCAGTATGTAGTGTCTCTACTTTAAAGAGTCCTCTCCTGCTGAGGTTCAGGTGTATATCAGTATGTAGTGTCTCAACTTTAAAGAGTCCTCTCCTGCTGATGTTCAGGTGTATATCAGTATGTAGTGTCTCTACTTTAAAGAGTCCTCTCCTGCTGATGTTCAGGTGTATATCAGTATGTAGTGTCTCAACTTTAAAGAGTCCTCTCCTGCTGATGTTCAGGTGTATATCAGTATGTAGTGTCTCTACTTTAAAGAGTCCTCCCCTGCTGATGTTCAGGTGTATATCAGTATGTGGTGTCTCTACTTTAAAGAGTCCTCTCCTGCTGATGTTAGGTGTATATCAGTATGTAGTGTCTCAACTTTAAAGAGTCCTCTCCTGCTGATGTTCAGGTGTATATCAGTATGTAGTGTCTCTACTTTAAAGAGTCCTCCCCTGCTGATGTTCAGGTGTATATCAGTATGTGGTGTCTCTACTTTAAAGAGTCCTCTCCTGCTGATGTTCAGGTGTATATCAGTATGTAGTGTCTCTACTTTAAAGAGTCCTCTCCTGCTGATGTTCAGGTGTATATCAGTATGTAGTGTCTCTACTTTAAAGAGTCCTCTCCTGCTGATGTTCAGGTGTATATCAGTATGTAGTGTCTCAACTTTAAAGAGTCCTCTCCTGCTGATGTTCAGGTGTATATCAGTATGTAGTGTCTCTACTTTAAAGAGTCCTCCCCTGCTGATGTTCAGGTGTATATCAGTATGTGGTGTCTCTACTTTAAAGAGTCCTCTCCTGCTGATGTTAGGTGTATATCAGTATGTAGTGTCTCAACTTTAAAGAGTCCTCTCCTGCTGATGTTCAGGTGTATATCAGTATGTAGTGTCTCTACTTTAAAGAGTCCTCCCCTGCTGATGTTCAGGTGTATATCAGTATGTGGTGTCTCTACTTTAAAGAGTCCTCTCCTGCTGATGTTCAGGTGTATATCAGTATGTAGTGTCTCTACTTTAAAGAGTCCTCTCCTGCTGATGTTCAGGTGTATATCAGTATGTAGTGTCTCTACTTTAAAGAGTCCTCTCCTGCTGATGTCAGGTGTATATCAGTATGTAGTGTCTCAACTTTAAAGAGTCCTCTCCTGCTGATGTTCAGGTGTATATCAGTATGTAGTGTCTCTACTTTAAAGAGTCCTCCCCTGCTGATGTTCAGCTGTATATCAGTATGTGGTGTCTCTACTTTAAAGAGTCCTCTCCTGCTGATGTTAGGTGTATATCAGTATGTAGTGTCTCAACTTTAAAGAGTCCTCTCCTGCTGATGTTCAGGTGTATATCAGTATGTAGTGTCTCTACTTTAAAGAGTCCTCCCCTGCTGATGTTCAGGTGTATATCAGTATGTGGTGTCTCTACTTTAAAGAGTCCTCTCCTGCTGATGTTCAGGTGTATATCAGTATGTAGTGTCTCTACTTTAAAGAGTCCTCTCCTGCTGATGTTCAGGTGTATATCAGTATGTAGTGTCTCTACTTTAAAGAGTCCTCTCCTGCTGATGTTCAGGTGTATATCAGTATGTAGTGTCTCTACTTTAAAGAGTCCTCTCCTGCTGATGTTCAGGTGTATATCAGTATGTAGTGTCTCTACTTTAAAGAGTCCTCTCCTGCTGATGTTCAGGTGTATATCAGTATGTAGTGTCTCTACATGTCTCCATGCTTTAATGTTCAAAAAACTCTTTATTGTTCTCATGTCTGTGCTGCAGCACCTCTTTTCACCCTCTGTCTGAAACCAGAACCCAGCCTGCTCTGATTGGTTAGCTGGCCGGCTCTGTTGATTGGTCAACTGCTTAGAGTGTATTACAGCCCCTTAGCCCATCACGTACAATGTGTTGGAGCACTACTCTTTAAACTTACAGTTGAAGCCACAACCTCCAAAATAAACTGTATTGTGTCGTCAAACTCAAAATGTCTTACTCTTATTTCACTAACAATGACCTCCAAACAGCAGCGACCTCGCTGCTTAATACCAAAGAGCCTGAGGTGGCCTCAAAGATAACATGCGACACATTCAGAGACGTCATTATAAACCGTTTCCTTTAACAAACATCCTTTCGAGAAAGATGTGATCAGTGACAAATAGTGTGATCAATCTGTTTGCAGGATTACAGCCTCAACCGGTGCATGCAAACAGAATCCTGTTCCCGGGATTAAAGTGACTCCAAAATCACGAGTTTACAGAAAATAATTCCCGGGCCATTTCCATCGAGACCTTCATTACCTCGTGCTGCACACACTGAAGGCAGTGCGTGCATTTCCCGTCACTCACACACTCCTGATACACACAATCTGAGGGAAATCATGTTCTCAAAAAAAAGGAAATAGGTAATTCTATTTCCATTATAAATCTGGCGCATTGCAAAGTAATAACTGTCAGAGAAACGGATTACTGTGAGAGCGGTGACGCCTGAGGAGATGCTGCATGTTATTTATTCTGATATACCTTAAATCAATGCAACACTGCTGTAAACACACACTCACATCCAGAGCTTGAAAGAAACAGGAAGGATCAATATAATATGATTTATTCAGACATAGAAATCATATAAGTATATTTATTTTGCCATCAGTGTGGAAAGTGCGGCAGCAGATGTGACTCCTTGTGGTTGTTTCTATTCAGTGGTGTGTTTCTATTCAGGTGTGGCGTATTATCTGTGTTGGACCCTGAAGGCAGCATCTCTCTGGTCCAATGGGATTTCACCATGTGATTTGGGATTATTGTATTACAGTGGGTTATTTACTGACGTATTTAATGTCGCAGAATTCAAATCTCTTCAGCTTGTGTTAACCACAGCCAGAAAACCATCGACTTCAAGACCAGGGGACAGGACGTGTTCAAATGCCGACTAATTTCCGGATTTTAGGACTCATTCCTGCACCACTCTTTAAATCTAAGACTAACCCTGAACTTATTTCAAGGTTTTGGGATCATGTGGCGTCATTTGAACGTCCAGGTTAATCCGTTACAAGCAAATGACAAACTGTGAATCCAACACAAGTGGATTCCATCTCTTATCCTCTGGGTTTTTCGTCCAGCCGGCTCCTCTGCTGGTCCTGGTATTCCCTCGAGTCCTCCCAGGGACGAGGGCCCCGGATGTTCCTCCACTCCTCCATATTCACCTTCTTTATCTTCTGCAGAGAGAACAAACAACAACAACTTCAGGAGGCGAGGTTTACACTTCAGGATGCCAAGAAATCAAAGTCTGAAAAACTCTGAAAATATGAGCTTGTGTTCCTGCACAACACCAAATATAATACTTCCTGGTCTTTGAAAAGTCCAGATGTAGAAAGTTGTGAACATCTGGAGAGTACCGCAGGTGAGAGGAGGCAGGAAATTAAACTGCCGGTCTTTCAGAACAGATTTGGGGTTTGAGAGAGTTTTGGTAGTCTAAAAATGTTGGTTCAACGGACGATTTTCTAAACTGCTTTAAAAACGTTTCTTGTGCATTTTTCACAAAGATTTAAATTCAAGGTTTTTTATTTCTTCTTATGTGAAAGAGAAACCAATGCAGACGGAGACACATTTGAGTCCTGAGTTTTATTTAATGCAAAATAACTGCTTAACGCGTTTCCCCAATTCAACCTCTTTAGACTTTCTTTAGTCTAACCCCGGGGTTCCACCGGGTCCGTCGGCGGCGTGGTTTTGGTCCGACCTCCTCGAGCGTCACGACCCACCGGGCCCGTTTCAGAAGCGGAGCGTCTTACGTGCCGGCTCGCAGTTTTTGTTGATTTGTGCATATTTCCTGGACAGGCTACTTTGTGCAGACAAAGTTAATAATAATTGTAATATTCCAGCTGTTGCTGTATTTTAGTGGTAAAAAAATGCATTAATCATCATAATTATTCTATATATATAATTGACACAGTGCCTGTAAACCGGAGGAGAACGCTGGCATTTCTCCTCCTCCTTGAAAGACTACGGAGGATAGGGTCTGCAAAATGAGTTTATTTTGGGGATTGACTGGATGCTCTGACCGGTCCACTTCCTACCCGGCGCTATGCAACGCCTCGCGTCGCGTTCCACCGAGACGCTTCTGGCCGTAACGTGTCTGGTGGAATAGCACCCATTGACTAGAGAGGCCGCGAGTGTCGTGGACGCTGCGGCGCAGACGGACCCGGTGGAATCTAGGGCTAAGGGGCATCTTTCACTTAATTCGGTCCCGTTTTCTGTAAAATGATGTTCCAATTCATTCTAATTTCAGATTTACAATGACAATACAATCTGACATTTTAAGAACACAGGTACCAACTATTCTGCACATTTCAAAATACACCCAGCATTATGTAATACATTACAAAATGCTGCGTAAACTACAACATGTTGCAATTGATGAATTATCACAATATGCAATAATAAAGAATGTGAATTGATTACATAATAAAGTCAAATTGCATAACATTGTGTTGAGTTTTTACATCACAATGCAGTGTTGTTACATCATGCGTTGTTGCCCTATATTGTTCAGCAGCTCCTCTTTCCTGCAGACAGACCACAGCAGTCACTTTCTTTTCTTTACCCCCCCTCAGGGTTCCTCACCTCGTACTCCTCCTCCAGGATGACCGGCTGCCGCTCCACGTTCACTTTGGCCTCCAGAGACGGATCCAGCTGAGAGGAAGAGGAGGAGAAATGTTACCGTACTGAGAAAGTCACACTTTAAAATCAATCAGAACCAGTGCTACATGTTTGCAGTCACACACTTCAAACACAACTCACCTGGCACGAGACGGAGGTACAGCTGCACAGAGAGGCATTACATGTTACTTGTTAGACGCTTTTATCCAAAGCGACTTACTCAATACTGTGGGCAATCCCCACAGGAGCAATTTGGGGTGAAGTGTCTCAGGGACACAACGACATGCTGACTGCAGTGGGGTTTGAACCTGTGCTCCCTGATCTGAACACCAACGTTAACAAGACATATACTGCTCATTAGTATGTAGTGTCTCTACTTTAAAGAGTCCTCTCCTGCTGATCTTCAGGTGTATATCAGTATGTAGTGTCTCTACTTTAAAGAGTCCTCTCCTGCTGATGTTCAGGTGTATATCAGTGTGTAGTGTCTCTACTTTAAAGAGTCCTCTCCTGCTGATGTTCAGGTGTATATCAGTATGTAGTGTCTCTACTTTAAAGAGTCCTCTCCTGCTGATGTTCAGGTGTATATCAGTGTGTAGTGTCTCTACTTTAAAGAGTCCTCTCCTGCTGATGTTCAGGTGTATATCAGTATGTAGTGTCTCTACTTTAAAGAGTCCTCTCCTGCTGATGTTCAGGTGTATATCAGTATGTAGTGTCTCTACTTTAAAGAGTCCTCTCCTGCTGATGTTCAGGTGTATATCAGTATGTAGTGTCCTCTACTTTAAAGAGTCCTCTCCTGCTGATGTTCAGGTGTATATCAGTATGTAGTGTCTCTACTTTAAAGAGTCCTCTCCTGCTGATGTTCAGGTGTATATCAGTATGTAGTGTCTCTACTTTAAAGAGTCCTCTCCTGCTGATGTTCAGGTGTATATCAGTATGTAGTGTCTCTACTTTAAAGAGTCCTCTCCTGCTGATGTTCAGGTGTATATCAGTATGTAGTGTCTCTACTTTAAAGAGTCCTCTCCTGCTGATGTTCATGTGTATATCAGTATGTAGTGTCTCTACTTTAAAGAGTCCTCATCCTGCTGATGTTCAGGTGTATATCAGTATGTAGTGTCTCTACTTTAAAGAGTCCTCTCCTGCTGATGTTCAGGTGTATATCAGTATGTAGTGTCTCTACTTTAAAGAGTCCTCTCCTGCTGATGATCAGGTGTATATCAGTATGTAGTGTTTCTACTTTAAAGAGTCCTCTCCTGCTGATGTTCAGGTGTATATCAGTAATATGTAGTGTCTCTACTTTAAAGAGTCCTCTCCTGCTGATGTTCATATGTATATCAGTATGTAGGGTCTCTACTTTAAAGAGTCCTCTCCTGCTGATGTTCAGGTGTATACCAATATGTAGTGTTTCTACTTTAAAGAGTCCTCTCCTGCTGATGTTCAGGTGTATATCAGTATGTAGTGTCTCTACTTTAAAGAGTCCTCTCCTGCTGATGGTCAGGTGTATATCAGTATGTAGTGTCTCTACTTTAAAGAGTCCTCTCCTGCTGATGTTCAGGTGTATATCAGTATGTAGTGTCTCTACTTTAAAGAGTCCTCTCCTGCTGATGTTCAGGTGTATATCAGTATGTAGTGTCTCTACTTTAAAGAGTCCTATCCTGCTGATGTTCAGGTGTATATCAGTATGTAGTGTCTCTACTTTAAAGAGGTCCTCTCCTGCTGATGTTCAGGTGTATATCAGTATGTAGGTTCTCTACTTTAAAGAGTCCCTCTCCTGATGACGTTCAGGTGTATATCAGTATGTAGTGTCTCTACTTTAAAGAGTCCTCTCCTGATGATGTTCAGGTGTATATCAGTATGTAGGTTCTCTACTTTAAAGAGTCCTCTCCTGATGATGTTCAGGTGTATATCAGTATGTAGTGTCTCTACTTTAAAGAGTCCTCTCCTGCTGATGTTCAGGTGTATATCAGTATGAAGTGTCTCTACTTTAAAGAGTCCTCTCCTGCTGATGTTCAGGTGTATATCAGTATGTAGTGTCTCTACTTTAAAGAGTCCTCTCCTGCTGATGATCAGGTGTATATCAGTATGTAGTGTCTCTACTTTAAAGAGTCCTCTCCTGCTGATGGTCAGGTGTATATCAGTATGTAGTGTCTCTACTTTAAAGAGTCCTCTCCTGCTGATGGTCAGGTGTATATCAGTATGTAGTGTCTCTACTTTAAAGAGTCCTCTCCTGCTGATGTTCAGGTGTATATCAGTATGTAGTGTCTCTACTTTAAAGAGTCCTCTCCTGCTGATGTTCAGGTGTATATCAGTATGTAGTGTCTCTACTTTAAAGAGTCCTCTCCTGCTGATGTTCATGTGTATATCAGTATGTAGTGTCTCTACTTTAAAGAGTCCTCTCCTGCTGATGTTCAGGTGTATATCAGTATGTAGTGTCCTCTACTTTAAAGAGTCCTCTCCTGCTGATGATCAGGTGTATATCAGTATGTAGTGTTTCTACTTTAAAGAGTCCTCTCCTGCTGATGTTCAGGTGTATATCAGTAATATGTAGTGTCTCTACTTTAAAGAGTCCTCTCCTGCTGATGTTCAGATGTATACCAGTATGTAGTGTTTCTACTTTAAAGAGTCCTCTCCTGCTGATGTTCAGGTGTATATCAGTATGTAGTGTCTCTACTTTAAAGAGTCCTCTCCTGCTGATGGTCAGGTGTATATCAGTATGTAGTGTCTCTACTTTAAAGAGTCCTCTCCTGCTGATGTTCAGGTGTATATCAGTATGTAGTGTCTCTACTTTAAAGAGTCCTCTCCTGCTGATGTTCAGGTGTATATCAGTATGTAGTGTCTCTACTTTAAAGAGTCCTCTCCTGCTGATGTTCAGGTGTATATCAGTATGTAGTGTCTCTACTTTAAAGAGTCCTCTCCTGCTGATGTTCAGGTGTATATCAGTATGTAGGTTCTCTACTTTAAAGAGTCCTCTCCTGATGACGTTCAGGTGTATATCAGTATGTAGTGTCTCTACTTTAAAGAGTCCTCTCCTGATGATGTTCAGGTGTATATCAGTATGTAGGTTCTCTACTTTAAAGAGTCCTCTCCTGATGATGTTCAGGTGTATATCAGTATGTAGTGTCTCTACTTTAAAGAGTCCTCTCCTGCTGATGTTCAGGTGTATATCAGTATGTAGTGTTTCTACTTTAAAGAGTCCTCTCCTGCTGATGTTCAGGTGTATATTAGTAATATGTAGTGTCTCTACTTTAAAGAGTCCTCTCCTGCTGATGTTCATGTGTATATCAGTATGTAGGGTCTCTACTTTAAAGAGTCCTCTCCTGCTGATGATCAGGTGTATATCAGTATGTAGTGTTTCTACTTTAAAGAGTCCTCTCCTGCTGATGTTCAGGTGTATATCAGTAATATGTAGTGTCTCTACTTTAAAGAGTCCTCTCCTGCTGATGTTCATGTGTATATCAGTATGTAGGGTCTCTACTTTAAAGAGTCCTCTCCTGCTGATGTTCAGGTGTATACCAGTATGTAGTGTTTCTACTTTAAAGAGTCCTCTCCTGCTGATGTTCAGGTGTATATCAGTATGTAGTGTCTCTACTTTAAAGAGTCCTCTCCTGCTGATGGTCAGGTGTATATCAGTATGTAGTGTCTCTACTTTAAAGAGTCCTCTCCTGCTGATGTTCAGGTGTATATCAGTATGTAGTGTCTCTACTTTAAAGAGTCCTCTCCTGCTGATGTTCAGGTGTATATCAGTATGTAGTGTCTCTACTTTAAAGAGTCCTCTCCTGCTGATGTTCAGGTGTATATCAGTATGTAGTGTCTCTACTTTAAAGAGTCCTCTCCTGCTGATGTTCAGGTGTATAATCAGTATGTAGGTTCTCTACTTTAAAGAGTCCTCTCCTGATGATGTTCAGGTGTATATCAGTATGTAGTGTCTCTACTTTAAAGAGTCCTCTCCTGCTGATGTTCAGGTGTATATCAGTATGAAGTGTCTCTACTTTAAAGAGTCCTCCCCTGCTGATGTTCAGGTGTATATTAGTATGTAGTGTCTCTACTTTAAAGAGTCCTCTCCTGCTGATCTTCAGGTGTATATCAGTATGTAGTGTCTCTACTTTAAAGAGTCCTCTCCTGCTGATGTTCAGGTGTATATTAGTATGTAGTGTCTCTACTTTAAAGAGTCCTCTCCTGCTGATGTTCAGGTGTATATTAGTATGTAGTGTCTCTACTTTAAAGAGTCCTCTCCTGCTGATGTTCAGGTGTATATCAGTATGTAGTGTCTCTACTTTAAAGAGTCCTCTCCTGCTGATGTTCAGGTGTATACCAGTATGTAGTGTTTCTACTTTAAAGAGTCCTCTCCTGCTGATGTTCAGGTGTATATCAGTATGTAGGTTCTCTACTTTAAAGAGTCCTCTCCTGATGACGTTCAGGTGTATATCAGTATGTAGTGTCTCTACTTTAAAGAGTCCTCTCCTGCTGATGTTCAGGTGTATATCAGTATGTAGTGTCTCTACTTTAAAGAGTCCTCTCCTGCTGATGTTCAGGTGTATATCAGTATGTAGTGTCTCTACTTTAAAGAGTCCTCTCCTGCTGATGTTCAGGTGTGTATCAGTATGTAGTGTCTCTACTTTAAAGAGTCCTCTCCTGCTGATGTTCAGGTGTATATCAGTATGTAGTGTCTCTACTTTAAAGAGTCCTCTCCTGCTGATGTTCAGGTGTATATCAGTATGTAGTGTCTCTACTTTAAAGAGTCCTCTCCTGCTGATGTTCAGGTGTATATCAGTATGTAGTGTCTCTACTTTAAAGAGTCCTCTCCTGCTGATCTTCAGGTGTATATCAGTATGTAGTGTCTCTACTTTAAAGAGTCCTCTCCTGCTGATCTTCAGGTGTATATCAGTATGTAGTGTCTCTACTTTAAAGAGTCCTATCCTGCTGATGTTCAGGTGTGTATCAGTATGTAGTGTCTCTACTTTAAAGAGTCCTCTCCTGCTGATGTTCAGGTGTATATCAGTATGTAGTGTCTCTACTTTAAAGAGTCCTCTCCTGCT